TTGCACGCCCTAGGCGCAAACAGGATGTCCCAAACACGAACTTACGTAAACAAGCGCCAAACCTAGGCATGACTCACTGTAATGTAATTACGTATGGAAATTATTTCTTGCTTACGCATTTTCCACGCAAACAGTTAACTAAAGAATTACATTCCTATGTGTACACGAGGCATTCCTAATTAAAAATATAGATTTATGACTAAATAATTACTGTCCGAAATAGTGTCTTTTGACTCTGTCACATATTCTTTTAATCAATACATAATTTATTCTTATAACCATTACCATGTAGTCTGGCGATTTCTGAGAAACACGAAGCGAAACAAAATGCATTCTTAGCTGAAATGTTTTATCCAAATTCTGAGAAATCAAAGGAGTTTTATCTTGAACTTGACAAATAAGAATTAAGATCAAATAGTAAGTTTAAGCACAAAGTTAATTAAAAAACAACATAAAACGAACATGACCATAAATGTAAGGAAAAAATATAAAGGCAATAGCCTAGATTTTATCATTAGAGAGAAAAGCACATCTTATTATTATTTTGAAACTAAAGTCTAAGGGATTCAGACTAAGAATTATAAAAGTGAGTGAAGAATTATAAAAGTGAGTGAAGAAGCATGGGTCCATTTTTCTTGTACAACTATTTGTAATAAATCACATACTCTTTACTCACCCTTACGGTCTGTTCTGGTCGGTAATCTAGTCTCAAAGGTTCGTTTCTGTCCGCAAGGTAAACTATAAGTTGTTGTTTTCCAGGGCAACTTTGACTTTGAGACAAAGGATTGATTGGAATATCGCCTTCATCCACCTCTCTTCGTCCCAAAACATGCCGCCGAAACGCATTTAAAACGCTGTTTGCACCCATGTCTTTGGCATGGCGTTATCTAATAGGAAAATTTTTCTGCAGCTCTTCGGCTGTTTCTTGGTTCTTGGAAGTAGGAATATGTTTTACTTGGAATCATAATAAACTGACGCTCTCAGATGCTTTCCTGGAAAAATAGGAAGTGATTGGATCAGAAGACTGGGACTAGAGTACAGTACAAGAAACACGCGGGAATTAGTCGGGATCTCGGGATCATTCGGATGATTGGCGCCGGCGACTAGTCTCCGATTGACTATTGATTTTCGTGTAAATGTATCCTTTTTCTCCATCTTTGTTCCTTCACGTTTTCATGCTTCTTTTACTCCTTTTAATGTTTACAAGAAACATTTGTAAAGTATGATGGTTCACCTAAGAAGACTCTTATTGTTGAGTGCAACTGTAACAGTATTTATAATAGGTGGAATATACTTGATTAATATACAGTCAATCCCTGGAGGATACTCTAGTTGGTCTGGATGGAGTGTATGCTCAAAAACTTGTGGAGAAGGATTACAAGGTAAAATACGAAAGTGCAATAATCCTACTCCTGGCCCGCTAGGCAAGCTGTGCTCTGGACCAAATGTTATAACAAGAAGGTGTAAAGACGCACCATGCCCCGTAGATGGAGGCCCATCTGACTGGAGTGACTTTGGAAATTGCAATAAACCTTGTGGAGGTGGGATGAGGAAAAGAGTAAGAACTTGTACAAATCCTAGCCCACTTTTTGGAGGAAAGAAATGTGAAGGAGCAATGGAACAAACACAATCTTGTAATATCCACAAGTGCCCAATACACGGCCGCTTTTCAAAATGGTCGGAATTTTCAAAGTGCCAACCAGATAATACAAATTCTGCCAAAAATTCAAGCGCATTTTGTGGGCCAGGCGTTAAGATACGGAGAAGAATATGTAATAGCCCCTCTCCAGCCTTTGGTGGTAAACAATGTGAGGGAGCTATGTCAGAAACACACAGTTGCATTATTCCATGTCCAACTACATTACCACCAGCTACTGAAAAAACTTTTACCAATGCAAATAATACCAATAATTCTAATATTACGACTGGTTCCACATGAAAATCATGGAGTGTCTTACTACAGCATACTAGCATCATTGCATTTCTCTTTGAAGAAACCTTGGTAGCATTTTCAAGTTGTTCATGTTTTATAATTCCTGATATGAATTGCCCTCCGACATGGAAACTATCATTATGCACAACCAAGAAATTTGAGATAACCCACGAAAAAACCAGTTTATTTGCATAAGGAGATTTGGAGTCAAGCACAAACAATGAGCACAAACAATGAGCACAGAACAGTTAGATCAAACATCTTGAATCCCAATTACTGGCAATCCACACTTTAAAAAGATGCCTAAGATTTTGAAGCTATCTTATAAAAGTAACTTGTGAACCATGTTATAACACAGTTTCACTTTTAAGACTGAAGTGTTGTGTACAAGAGAAGGGAGAAAGATACTGCCTTCTGTTATATGGGATAACCACATATGCAAAAGCAAATCCTCCCTACCCTCTCCTCCCCTCTCCTCCCTTCCCCTTTCCTCCCCTCTCCTCCCTTCCCCTTTCCTCCCCTCTCCCCCCTCTTCTCTCCTTTCCTTCCCTTCCCTTCCCTTCCCTTCTCTAAAACACAGGTGCCCCAGGATCCCTCCAACAGGTATTGCTATCTACGTAAAATCAGAAGTTTGGTAAGTGTTTTTAGGATACTCCCTTAGCTGGATGCCTGAGCTCACATAGCATAGCATGTAATTTCCAACGTCCCGTACATATTTGTGATGTGAGTTAATCATTCAGTGGGACAAGTTTAATCTTATCTTTGGGCTTTGATCTTTGCTTTATATCCTCAGAAAGGAAATATAAGAAATGCTGTGAAAGAGCAATGTTTAATCAATATTTTCCTGTGTGTCTTGAAATAAGTGTGTATTAGTTTCTTAGTAGTTATATATCACAGGGGGAAGTGGGAAATGCCACATTAAAATATAGACACTGAGAAATCGCATCATTATAGAGGGAGAAAATAATGAGAAACCAAGTGAAGTAAGAAGTTGTCAGTAACTCTTCCCAGGCAGCATTTTAACTGACCAGGCAAGCACAGCTTGCAACATTCACGTTGAACATATATAAGCAAAAAGAAATAGTGTTACCTGTTACCTAGCCTCCTCGTGCCTCATGGCACACAGGGCCTTTAAGAAAAAGAAATAGTATTTTTTATGAAAAGATTGCCTATTCTTCATTGCAGAAAAAGAGAAAATAAAAGCATAGTTAACTATGGTAAAAGTAAAAGTCGTTTTAAGCCGAAGAACGACTCAGTAACGAAACGCCAGTACAGTTGCAAACATTTTTTGGTTGTTACAACACACCAACGCAGTCCCAACGTAATAATACTAGTCATTACCTATGTTATAAGGGTATGGCATAATGTATCCAATAAAAAATTCAAAGGGACCGGCACCGACAGAAATTCAAAAAAGCTCTGTTGGTAAGATCGTCTATAGGAGGTTTTTGTTAGAGTACTGGCCCCAACTACACTCGATTGAAAGTAAAGCGCCAAGCAAGGCACAAACAAGTTTCTCATTCATATCTGTCAAAGGAACCTTATTAAAAAAGGAACAACACTTTCGTCCTTTTATATTTTAAACTTTTTTTATGATGGTTATTTTTTTGTGATGGCGGGCTCATAATTCAAAAATGATTTAAATAAGCCGTCTGCTGCAGTAGTCGGGTTATGGATTACTAAGTCAACATTTTGTAACTTGGATACCTGACAATCGTAAGTCTAACACCTAGTTTGATTATTGATCACATATATTGTCAGGTTAATATTTTAAAATTCGATCTTTACACGCGGTCACAGCCCTCGTGAAACGACACCGGCCCGGGGGGGGGGGGNGGGGGGGGGGACTCTCTTGAAAAGTGGGTAGGGGGGATCGACGGACGGTTTTGAAAATGACCCTAAAAGGTACGCATAAATTACTTAACTGATATGCTGATTTCAGACCCTAAAAGGTACGACCACATTTAAAATGACAACCTTTCCAACCATATATATTCTCGTATTACGTTTGATATTTTTCAAAACGAACAAATCTGACCCAAAAAGGTACGGCGTCAGCCGGAGACCCTAAAAGGTACGCGAGGTCTCATTTTCGACCCTAAAAGTTCCGTCGAGCCCCCCTACCCACTTTTCAAGAGATTCCCCCCTCCCCTTCCGGGGACACCGGTTCAATTTTATCTTGTTTGTCGACCGTTTTTGTTCGAATGAACTTCCGTTTGGGATGATTGAGTCACCCCACCATCACCTGATCTAAGAGACCTGAACGCCGTTGAACCGTTTCAGTCAATGGAGTAGTTATATCGTTGCGCACATTCTGGGCTCGATGAGTTGCTCATATTGGAGGAGGGTGCCAGATTTGTAATACCTAGTAACCACTGAAATACCTTTCTCGTTGTTTTAGTGAGATAGTTCCACACAGTCACATTACCAATTGCGCGCGCAGCCGTCCAAATGTTACTTGATGCGCAACGGCCTATAAATAACTTGGCCATTCTTTCTCAGAATTGACCCTCCCAGGCTTTTAAATATTCGTAATAAAAACTGACTGGTTTCTAGAAAATTCCATCAATGATCAGATATTACAAACATTCATATGAGTTTTATTTGAAAAAGTCAGTGGTGATTTGAGTTGTAATTGGTCGTCTGCATGTCATAAAAGCCTTTAAGCCTAGCTGAATCTAGTACTAATTACTCACACGTGTAATGATAATTTAGTATAACCTATTTTAAAATGTTAAAATACCGACAGATAGCTCCTAGTACTATGACTACAGCCCCTACATTTGAACATAGTTAATATCTATTAACTATGATTTGAAGTTGTCTATCTTTTCAGTGTTATTAACAAGCTTGTCCGACTAATTAGTTCCCTGACGGAACATAAACATTAGATATTAGGTTTTTCTGAAAAAATGATTTCAGTCTATAGGGTTTAGCCAGGTGCCAGGTGCAAGAAAAAGGGTTGAGGTCAGCCGGACTTGGGTAAGCAGGTACCCCCCTCCCTTGGTATACCAGTCTACTTGATATGTGAGCATGCACTATTATTTGCTAACCCTGGGTACTAGTGACTAGCATCGTATGATCGTCGTCCAACGAGAAGCCAAGTGGAAGTGTTTACGAAGGACGACAAGCCGGTGAAAAAGAAATAGTCTCTTAAAACCCTCTGCATTTCTTCGCACTACGTTGGATCTTGAATGCTCTAGTGAAGCATGGCAGGGTGTGAAGAAAGCTTTGGGTTTTACTTTATCTTTGTACTGTTGACATACCTGTTATGGATGGATTTAAGTTTCTTCGACGAGTTAGCAGTTTATGGATCCAACTACAACTCAACAGTTGCTTCAAAGATGATGTTTCCCGTCAAAAGTGTGAAACTTCGTATGACAGAACATATTGACCACTATATAAACTTGCCACTCATGGAATTATCAGAAGAAAAACTTGGTATTTCGTCTATTCCTGGCATAACTCCAAATGTTATCAGCGCCTTCCACTTTTTCTGCGCTGTTATCTCCTGTAAATTTGCCATCTCCGAGCATCTTGCTTTCCGTCGAATCGGCTGTGTTATATACGAGTTCAGAAACCAACTAGATCTACTTGATGGTGTTGTGTATAGAGCACAGGCTCACAAGAAGACTTTCGTTTCAGGCTGGGGTTCGTCAGGGTATTTAGTCGATGCAGCCATGGATTTTGGTGGAGGAYTATTAATGGCTTTCTCATTAGGCGTGTTTTTACATCGTTTTCCTCCCTTGAAAAAAGTCCGCATACGAAAAGATGTAGAAGCAGGAGTAGGGCTATTATCCGAACACTATCCCACTAAACCAGAAAAGACGACCTATTCCTTTGTGCATGTAGATCGCCGTACCATTACCATTACGGTACTGATGGCTGTTATTCAAGTGATTGGAAGAAGCGGTTTTTGGGACCACTTTGTTCGTTCATACCATGAATTACTTGAGCTTCCTAATCCACATTATCCAAAGGTTGGTATTAAAAAGTTTTATATATCCTTATTTTATCCTTCATTTACTCATCAAGTGTTCTGATGGTTGGTAGGTCTTTCAGGACGTATATGTACAAACTTACTTTGTTGTAGATTTCTTTCCCATTAAGCAATTAATTGCTGTCGCAGGCTAGAGGTTTAAGGCTGGATATTCAGTCTATAAATTATGAAAAGATAGGCTCTTATAAAGGCTGTACTTAACAATTTTTTTCACTTTATTTGAATAAAGCAATTGTTTATTTTGGGGACACTCAGCCCTGTTAGGTGAACCAGAAATGTTATTGAATTATTCAAGAGCTCTTAAAAACCCTTTCGTCTTGGCTACTTCATTTCCCTCACGATATACATTATTATTTATATTGAATTTCAGTTTCTTGAAAACCTTTGAAGGCTTTTCTCTATTTGCCTTCGAAATATTCTTCATCAGACAGAAAGTGTTTGATATGTACTCTTTAAACCAATATAAAATGTCATAAAAGATGTAGAAACTAGTAGAAAATCTCAAGGTGCAAAACAATTAAGCGCTTGTTTGTAAAAGTTTTCGAAAATCTCAATGGTTTTAAACTCACCTTACAAGTTTTTGGTGTATCTAAAAGAATTTCAAGTTTATTTCTTTCATCATAGAAATTAGACTCAACGGATATGAAGAAAAACATCTGTTTTCTGAAAATTAATAAACAAGAATTTAAATTAGTTACTTTGGTTTTGAACTCTAAATATTATGTCTTTTCTTTCATCCATATGTATTGGCCAAAGCAAAGCACCAACAAATCCCCTTATATCCTAAAGATACTTTTAAGTAGAAAAAAAAATGGCACATTGCTAGGTTGATACATGTACCTCAAACAAAGCCAAAGGCAATTATATAGCAATTATAGGAGACAGATCATTCCAAGGTCCAAGAATAGCTGGAAATATGACTTCTGCTGCTTATTCTCAATCATCAAGAACTTGGAGCTCAGTGTTGAGATATCCAATGTCATTTGTAGATCAATTTTTGTCTTGGAACGTCCTATTGCTTATCTCCTTTGGCTCCAAGTATCTTTTTTGAAATAAGAGTGTAATAATTCTTAAAGTCTTTGGAGAAGACATGTGGGTTGTGCTAAAAAGTATTCTTTGATTCTTGTCTTATGGCGTTAAGTTCAATTTCACAACATTTCACCATAACAGAGAGGGATGATGATTTGAATGGAATAGAACTGAGCTTTGACATCTTTATATATACAAAAAAACATACACTGCACATATGACTGATCCTTAGGATATGTATGCTGTTTTATAAGAGAAAAATAATCTATGTGGTCTTTATTATGTTTTTCATTAGGAATTACAAGCAGAGGTTCTTAACTACAGGAGTACTTGGCTTGTGATGTGGCTGTGGAAAATATCCAGTGCAGATGCATTCTTTCAATTTACCCTACTGGCCATGTTATTTGATAAATCATGGGTATGTACTTAATACCAAAAACATGTATTTTACAAAGAAATGAGCTTTTTTCCATGTTCCATTCAGTAATAAAGCATGCAGGAAGTGATGTAAGCAAAAAAGAAGTGCAAAGGAAGCGTGAGCCAAAGGCGACTTTATAGAAGAAATGTAGAACTTGACCTTTTGTTTTGACCTGAATTGAAGCTATCCACATTTATGTTGAATGAGCAGCATTGCTCAGCATTGCATCATCAGCCATTATAAGAATCATGTATGCCAGTATGGTAGTAGTATGTGACCCATATATACAGGGGTTATATATCATGGGTACGTACTGTAACTGTGCTATATGGGTTATGTAAGTCTGTTATATGTCTAATAAGTGGCGTCTATATTGCTAGGTTTGGTTAAAGATGGTTTTCTACATTGGCTGGTTCCAGATAGCTGGTGTTATTGCACTCTCTCAGCTTCACTTGATGGAGGTAAATAGCTTTAACTTATGATTAGTGCTTCATCTGAACAAGGACTAACATCTGAGTCATCTCATAATATGGTTGGTATCCAACTCAATTCAATATCCTGCTTAAAAAAGGGTTCCTCTTGTCACCTGCAAGACAAGGACAGAAGTGAACTTTGCTTTTAGCAGAGAGCATGGTTTAAATTAAAACCGTATATAATCCAATGTTTACTTTCTTTTAGTGCATTAAGATGAAGTTCTTATTCTGTTATTGAACTATTTATACTTTTTTTTTTTCAAGGTAAGAGCATATTTGAATGCTGCAGCATTGTGAGAGATTGGGATTTTGGTGTTTAAAATATAAAGAAAAGGTAGGATATGTACTCATAAAACCACAGTGGAAGAAAACATTGTTGACTCTAACACTATGATGGTGAACAAAGATGAAATGGAAGAGTATTGCCTATGATCAGTATTCAGTTGTGCGGGAACTCAAAGTCGTTTAAAACGTGAAAAAAGGGACATTCCTGAACTACTGGATGCTGCATAAATGTACATTAAGTACAAAAAAAATTAAACTGATTGAATTGAAGACATATTTTTAACCATAAGTTGGTAGCTTATATATAAGGAGGAGAGTATAGTACAGCCTGATTACTAATAAACTCTGGTCCTTTTTAACTCGTTGATAAGCGAAGCGTAGAAACGAGTTACTGTGAGAGGTCTGAATATGCAAATGTGTCACTCGCTCATTAAGATGTTAACAGATCGATAATTAAACGTATATTGATCGCCTTACGTCATCTGATTACGAACATTTCCCGACACTAACAAGCACATTGCTCTTATTCAGTATAGACTACTTTCGCTATTTAAATGAGGAAATGAACTGTTGATGTTTCATGTGGGATACTTCTAGCACTGTGGACCCACTCTGCACAAGCGCACACTCGCACTTAGTTTTATCTTCGGATTATTTATATCAAAAGAATTGAGGAAAGATGCAACTGGAAGTAAAATAATACGATTAACGCCTAAAACTAAATTTCCAATGAGTCAAACCTTTTTTTGCTGATGCGATAAAGTAAACAGAAATGCTTATGTAAAATCGTCAACATATTTAGATCCTCTATTTAGAAGACTCGTGGGTAGAGCTGGACTGGACGCATCGAAAAAAGAACTTTTCATTAGATTTCAAAACGAGAGTCATGGAGTATTAAGAAAGTTCGGCTAGTTTTGACATCCAAATAAGCCGTTCTGAATTAAAAGTAGATTGATAGTCGGACATCACAAACAGCCGAAGCAATGTTCTTGTATCTTTTAAACTGCGAAGGTACAAATCTACTCAATAGATGTCGCTCGAGACTATTAAACGAATGAAATTTTAAAAAAAGTATTCTAAAGTATTTCGCTTAGTTCACAGTGTAAATAAAGTGTTAATTGTAAGCGCCGTGATGACCCTTGAAGGTCAAGATAAGTAGTAACGCATAATGCAACGTTTTTCCAATTCATCACAGAATTCGCTTCCAAACTCAACAAAATAACAAAGAACTAAACAAAGTAGGTGTTAAAAGGAAAATAAAAGGGTGACTTATCATCTTACCAGTTAAATTGAGCATTTAAAATATGAAATCGAGTGAAATACTTTAAAACCTTTGGATGTCAACAAGCATAAGGACACAGGGAGCCCAATCTCTGGAAAGTTCAACTGGTATCCACAAGTTCGCCAAAGGGCGGTTTGATTAGACCTTTGTCCATTTCAGACCACATCATTCTCTAGAGAATAAGATTGTTTTTTTAAGTTGTATCCATATCCATTTGTCTTCTCAAGTGCAAACAGTCAAACCAATATTAACCTTTGGTGAACTTGTGGATTCAGAGATTGGATTCCCCTTTCAAAGTAGTTCACTTAATTTTTTAACAATCAAACTGGTTTAATTGATGAGCAATCGTTCTTATATTTTTCTTTCAATGTTTACTTATTTTAGTTTTTTTTAATTTGTTGTTTTGAAGCAAATCCTGTAATGAATTATTTTATCATTTGAGCTAGAGTCACTTGACATTTCACTCATTGAAAGACTAGTGTAGACGTTTAGTTTATCATATTTTATTTGAACCTGCATCTTTCCTTGATTCTTTATATATAAATAAATGATAATAAAGCTACGTTCACCTGTGCTCATGCTCAGTGCTAGATATCATCCAACTCTTTCCACATCCAACAGCAAAATTCAAGTTTCAAGTATAATTTAAATAAGACGATTGATGATCTTTTCAATATCAATCTGCAAACATCTTAGTGAGTTTGCATATTCAAGCTAATCGCCATTACTTATTTCTATGCTTCACGTATCCACCAGTTAAAAATGACTTTAATCCAATAATGTCTTATAAAGTCTTTAAATGATACTCTAGAGAATGACACATGGTCTGAAATGGGGAAAATTAAAATCTAATATTATTCAGGAATCATGAAATATTTAGCTTGCTCTAGGTAAAGGAAATGTATAAAAAGCAAAATATATATTAGGCTCTTAGTAAACAATAGGAACATTTGGTATTCATGGAGATGCATTTTTCAACGGTTGACTATAGTCAGAAGTTGGATTACTATCAGCAGTATGAGTAACAAATGCATTTTACTTTTACTCTTTTTCTGTGGTTTACATTTGATTCTTGATTGACTTCATAAAATAGGCTGTGGCTAATGCCCATGTGGGATGTAGTCTTTCACTGTACTTGAATCACTAAAGGGGTACATGCAGTATAAGGTCAGAACAGACACCTGCAATGACAATTGCAGTAGAGGTATTTCTCTGAGCCAAACATTGTATTATTACTTGGAGGGAAGTTTCTACACATGCTCGATACTGATTTGGATGCTGATTTGGATGCTTTACAGAAAACTTGAAATATCTGTTGACATACTCCACAGATCAATCTTGTACATTGGAAAGCAAAATAACTGTAATCATATCTGGTCAAAATTATCTTGGGACTTTTTCCACTGAAAATAGGTGAAAGGGCTTTTGTTGCTTTTTACTTGAAAACTTACGAAAAATTAATGAGATTTTTATTGTCATTAGTGATGCAAGATCAGTAATTTGTTATGAAAACTAAAGCACAAACACTAAATCCATGAAATAAAGTCAAATTGCCTCCTGTATGTTGATATATTGACTTGGTGAGCGAATACAAACTATTATGCAGTAACAATTGAGTTTGTATATGAGAATATATATAGACTATATATTTGTACAGTGGTCATAATTGATTTTATTTCTTGGATTTTAGTATTTGCTGCACTATAATTATGTTGTACAATAGACTATTTGGAGGTATTACTGTGCGGACTCACTAACTGGGACTACTTGAAGAAAGTTTAACCAAATTCATTACAACATAGAGTAAAGACAAAGTTATCAAAATTAGTTGAACTTGAGCCAACCTGAGAAATACTTAGATCTTATTAACGATCGTGGGAATGAGAGATTGTGTCTGGCCGAGATCAATATTATACTGATTTGGGAGGTATTATATTTATGTAATAGGTCTCCATGCTGTGCAATTGTAGGCTGTCTATTTTGGCAGTCAGAAGGATTTTTCAGGTCTAATTATTTCTCAATTGGATAGCACAGAGTCCTATTACCTATTGATTACATTTCTATCTATTAATCCATATAGGTAAATAATGTCCAATTAAGAAAATAATTGGACAGTTACCTACATGGGATTAATAGGTAGCTATACAATTAGTCAAGTAAGAGAAGGGGAAAAGTCTTATCTGTTTCTGCATGCTTCCCTCTTCTCACTATTTTTGTGAACATTGAGAGCCTTCTAGTAAAGAATTATGAAATGATTTGTTGTTTTATTATAGTGATCTTACTTGGCCGAAAAAAGTAAGCATAATATATAGTAATAGACATAAATTCCTTTGTTTTATTTCACAGGCCAAGTAAAATCACTCGTAGTGCTTATAATTAACACATTTCACTTTAAATTGGTATTATGAGATAAAAACTTTTGTCACAAATAAAAACTGTTTCCAAGAGTACTATTTCACTCGGGGTTGGACTGGGTTAGTAAAACGTCCTTCATATTGTAAATCTTACCTACCTGTTGTGCCACACAGGTCCTTTTTCTTTATACGACATTACCGGTTCTTCCATTCACTGACAACATGTAATTGGTATTTAGTAAGATTATCCTAACATCATCGGAGGCTAGATATCAGTCATTGGTTGGTTTTCATAGAACTTCTAGCTGTAAAAAAGACCTGACAAAACCAGAAGAAATTCAAGCTTGTCATTTTTTCATTTCCTTCCAAAGCGAAAGGTAGAAAGATGGACGACGTTTTTTCCTCTTTTGTGATTGGCATGCGCATACAATGTTATTGTTTCGTTACTAATGCTTTTAAAACCTTTTTTGCCCGATGGCAAAAGATTTAAAAAAAGTTAATTCAGACAAAGCAACTGCATTTCACTCGATTATCAGTCCCACAGGGTACTGTACCCGATCGGCTCAGTATACATCGAGAGGACAGATCGCACTCCTTTTCACTGTTTCCTTCCTCGGTGATAACGCCAAAGCGACTCGTTTATTTCTGAGCGGTTGAAATGACAAATGAGAAATGAATCGACGATCGTCGACACTTGCTATCAACTGTTAATATATGAACAGAATCGGTGTGTTTTCTTCGAGGACGTGAGAAAAGGTCGGAAAAGGAAAGTAGAATAAATTATTGTTACAGTAAGCGCAGTTTTTCTATTTGATGACGTATGTCAATATAGCATCAACGACGATCAACATGGGGGGCTGTGAGGAAAGCTGCGGATTTTATTTTATTTTTTCCCTCTTTACGTTTTTCGTGTGGATGGATCTTAGTTTTTTCGGTGAGTTAGCTGATCACGGGTCTCTTTATAACGCCTCTAGTGCTAAATACATGATGTTCCCAGTCAAAACTGTCAAACTACGAATGCAGGATCACACCAGTCATTATATCAACCTTCCTTTGATGGAACTGGCAGATGAAAGAATGGGAATTTCTAGTTTTCCCGGTGTAACTCCTAACCTGATAAGTGGTGTTCATTTATTTGCTGCTGTAGTAGCAGCAAAGTGCATGATATCAGGCAGTCTTTGTGTTCGAAGGCTAGGAGTGCTTTTGTACGAGATTCGCTATCAACTTGACATATTGGACGGCGTGGTATTTCGTGCTCAAACTGATAAAAAGAATAGTTACGAGTCAGGCTTTGGTTCGTTCGGATATCTTATAGACGCATTCAGTGATATGTGCGGAGGGATACTTATGGCAACAGCTTGTACCCTATTTCTATGGCATTTTCCTCCTGTAAAACGAGTTCGAGTCGTATCTTTTGGCAGTGATTTTAGAGATCAAGAACTCGGCAGAAAGGCGATATTAAACGAGTGCTCACGTGAAGGAGAACAACTTGTTCACTGGAATCGACCTGCGGTGGTGGTAAGAATGGTAGCAGCGACTGTTCAATTGATTATGAGGAGTGCACTATGGGACTTCTACCTAAGGTCCTATGTTCAGCTTTTTGAGTCAAGAAATTCAAATATACCCAAGGTAAGTAAAAAAGATCTCTGAAAAAGGAAGAAAAAGTTTCTCCATGAATTAGTTTCTTGTTGCTATCACATCAATCTGTTGTTTTCATTACATCAGGTTCTGTCTTATTCAACCAGTAACGTTAATCTCGGAGGAAAAATGAAATGCTAATACTACATATCTTTTCATCAGGCCCTCTTTGATGTTTTTGTTTATTCAATAATCCAATTACACACAAGATATTTTTAGATGAAAAGGAATTAAATATCAAAGGAAGGTTTAAATGATTTAAGTTTATCTAGAAACAGTAGGTGGTAGGCCAAGGAATCAAGAGAGTTTTCTTCATTTATTATAATACTGTATACATCAGAACTCATTCGAGTGTTTAAGTGTCAGAAAGGGCAGCTGAGCACGTTTCAATAAGTGAGTATAATTTACATTAAAAAGCTTCCATCGTTTATTATTCAAACTGTTCTTTTTCTCGTTTTAAAAGATGGGCATCGAACGAAATTTATCCGCCCAAACAATTATGCGTACAGTCAACGCCCCCCTCCCCCTATCTTGACGCGGATTGTTCGCTTATATTAGAGGTCTGACGGCGATGATTTTAATATAATTGTACGACATGCTCCCTTGTTTGATTTAATTATGTTAGCTTTGTTTATACTATTTACCATAATTACTTGTTTCGATATGAAAGGATCTTCAGATAGAAGTGTTGAACTATCGCTTTACTTGGCTGGTGTTCTGGTTATGGAAAGTGTCAAGTGCTGATGCCGTTATACAGTTCACCTTGATGGCTATTCTCTTTGACAAACTATGGGTAAGCACTTTTACTTTACTCCCTTCTTTGACCTACTATGCTCTTGCCAAAGAGAAATCATATGCACGACGAATATACTGGAGATGTACACCGTAATAAGCCGGTCAGTATTATAGATATACAAGAATTCACAGTACAGAACTTCTCAAAAAGAAAAGAAATACTCTATCCTCCACCATGGAATACCGTAAATCCTCTATTTAGCCCCCCGGCGGCTTATTTAGTTCAGGCACGTTTGAGGGGGGCTTATTGGAGAGAGTGGGCTTAATTGAGAGGGGGGCTTATTGATTTAGTCGAAACGCAGTAAGTTGTACGCTGTCAGGATGTAATATGATTGTAACTCAGGATTAAACGGAAGCATTACTATTGACCATCTCGCATAATCTGTAGTGATGTACATGGAATTTTTATTGTTTGATTCACCTGTGTTAGTCTCTCAGGTATAATTTACGATTATTGTGAGCAGCAAAACTAAAACACGGAAGCATTACTATTGACCATCTCGCATAATCTGTAGTGATGTACATGGAATTTTTATTGTTTGATTCACCTGTGTTAGTCTCTCAGGTATAATTTACGATTATTGTGAGCAGCAAAACTAAAACACAGTAACATTAACAAAGCAAGCTAAAACGAAATGTTCTAAACAATCATTAAATGTTCCATTGGTACATTACCACGTGATTCTTTAGTTGTGAAGGGGGAGGGGAGGGGGCTAAAAAGAGAGGGGGAGCTTAACAAATTTTTTCCTTTAAAAGGGGGGGGGGGAGGGGGCTAAATAGAGGATTTACGTAAATATCCTTTGACTTTTCCCATACTAGTCTCTCATATTTTCTAACCTTAGCCCCTTCACTTTTAAGGGTGCTCTGTGGCCCCTGGTAGAGAAAAGAAGAGGGTTTCCTTTCACAGACTTTCACTACACAGCAAGGATGCTTCCCAGTCCACACACTACTCTTTTACTATCGATAGAATTAACGTTCATTAAATATTTATTTTCAGACATGGGTTCAGATCTTGATTTCTTTAGGATTTATTCAGTTGATAACAGTTGTGCTGATATCACAACTCCACTTAATAGAGGTTTGTACAAAAAGGCTTCTTATGGTTGTTTGAAAATCTTCGATTGAAAAGACCACTCAATAGAGGTTTGATATGTATGAATATCTTTGATCAAAAAGACCACTCAATAGAGGTTGAATATGTATGAATATTTTTGATCAAAAACACCACTTATTAGAGGTTTGATATGTATAAATAGTTTAAGACATATTATAAGATTTTTATATTTAAAGGTCAGGGCTCAAAATAGCTGCCTGCCAATGGCCAAATGACAGGCCAAATTTCAGGTTTGGCAGGAGAAAATAACAATGTGCTGACAAATGAATAATAAAATGGCATGCAATATTTACTGGAATGACCTCCTTTTACCATGCTCCTTTACTATGGAAGGCTAATAAAAATTCCTATTTCGAGCCCTGAAAGGAATACATAAAGAATCTGTTTCCTCTGATACAGATTGACAACAGCTGTTGTATTTCAATCAAATTTATATTTAGATAGTAACAATATAAATATTTTAACTCTCAGGTCAGAGCATACCTTTTAGTATAACCATCAAAACATGGAAAGACTGAAGAACATAGATGGAAGAGCATACCTTTTAGTATAACCATCAAAACATGGAA